AAAAATAAAAAAAATTGTCAATCACGTGGTTAAGACAAAATATACCAATGCCAATTGTTTGTTATTTCATTTTACATGAATTAAAAGAAAAGGTCAAACTAGAAATGTATAATAATTAATCTAGTCATAATCGAACCATTTAACCTGGATAGAATTTGTAAATTGTATAATTCAATTCTCTTCAAAATCAAGGGTGTACATAGGTAACTGGTCAGGTCAAGAAGATAACTAAAAAAAGCAACTTACCGGCATTTTCATAAGATGGCCAAGCAAAAGATGACCCAAGGAAATATTGGTTCTCAATGTATATGAAATGTTGGGCACATCTTATAGCATGGATATAAGCCATTTGAATGCTTCTGTCTATCACCAAATTTTTCGCACACACTAGGTTCTGAAATTAAAACAATATGCAAGGACTTATTTTTCTAGCAAAATAGAAAAGAAGGCAAGAAAAACAAAAGTTCAAACAATCAACATTAAAAATCGAGAGTACTTGTTCCTCAGCTGCATGGACATTTTTGGGAAAACCTTTCAGCGATCCCGAGTCTATGGACCGGAAAACCTGTCGATATTAAGAAGCTGAGGTGTAAAATTGTTATTGCTGCATAAATATCAAACAAAAAAGCTTTTCATGTGTACTTAAACCATTCACAACCTGAACATGCCAGTTTTCTGGACTGTCTTCCCTCGAAACCCATAATGAAGGGTCATCATTTGGAACAGATGGGGACGGACTATTAATCCAGGATATTCTTTCAACCTTAATTAAAGCGTCATCATGCCAGTGTGAAATCTTTTTAAACCGTTGTCCAAACTCAGACCATTTAGTGGCTTTTCTCCACCGTTGTTCGAAGTTTGTGAGCACATCATAAGCGGCCGGACCTTCAATTTTGCAATGTAAATCGTGCCAAGGTTGTCTTGGTCCTTTCTTTCCCGGCTTTTGGAAAAATATACAACCCAAATATATTTCAGAAAATGTATAATAGAAATGACAGAAATTAGAAATAAGTGATAATCTATATATTTTACAACTTTTATCATGAATGAGCAGAATGATGTAGGAAAAGTGAATCCAAATACATGTCACATATTACAAAATGAAGTATAAAGAACAATGAATTACTTTAAGCACACGATTCTATGGTAATAGGTTCCGAGAAACAAATAAACAAATGGAACATAAAATGCCACTGTCACAGTATTTTCCTTAACAGGCAACACGAATAGTGCAGAACTAGTTGTTTGATGAAATACGACGAGTGCATTATTGTCTATTGACTTATAAGGATAACTCTTCATAAAGCAATTACTCACAGGAAAGGTTGGATTATGATAATCATTCTCAAATACAGTGTCGAGATCGCGAAACAGTCGATGTTCGGGAGTATCATAGCGTCCATCACAGAGATCGAGACCGCCAATGAAAGCAGTTATCTTTCTGTTGTTGCCATAGTCTTGAGTGTCCACAATAACACATTTCTGATGGTGTGTGTAAAGAGTTCCAACAACCTGAATAGAAAAACAATCACATGAAAGTTATAGTACGACACTTTACTCATTATGTGACTAGTTTATTTGGTAAATGTGTAGGAACAAAATGTAACAGCAATCCTATTTTCGGAAAATTTTAAATTAACAATATATGTATCCAAGTAAACTTCGTTCAGGTCGCACGTAGTGAGTGAACCGGAAAGAGATTGGTGAGACTTGGGAGTGAAACAAATTTGGCAAGTCATGTCCATGGTAAATTTATTAAGTGTGTTTCATTCAATAATCTACATGTCAAATAATAAGCTTTGACAGATTACAAACTGCCATACATGAAGAATTCAAAAGTAATAGACTAAACAATTAACTCTATGAAAGAAAGTAAAAACTGGGTTACAAAAAAAACAAAGCATGCCTGCTGCTTGAAAAAGCTGAGCTTACTACTTGCGTAACGGGGGGCTAGTACACATGTGACTGACGAGTGCTTGAAAAACTTCCGAGTTTCCTCGTCATGAGTTTGCATCACTCCTTCCTGCACTAAACACAATCCAATATTAAAAAAAATAATAATAACAATATACCTAATAGGCAATAGCAAGAAATGATGCTAGATAAAAATTCCATTTCTATATAATATGTAACTAACGATCGACAAACAATACCGTTTTAAAAAAGAACTTGTTGTGCGATGTCTTGTCGTCCCAAACCAACAGCAACACCCTCACCCCTTCCTGCGACTTGTACTTAAGCAGCTCCCCAAGATTCAAATCCCCACCTTTCGGCAATGGCTTGCTCGGTTCCCTCACCAACTTCACCTTATGATAAATTGACCAACCAACAATGTACACCAAGTGATGCGCCTCCAAAATCGCGTGACAAATGTCCTCCCAACACTTCCCGTGCTCGAACTTCTTCCCACCATCAAGCTCGATTTCCGGCAACATCCCATCCTTCACGTGCGCATCTTGATAGAGTGTGACCTTCCCGCCATGCCGAGACGGGAAATAGCTCTGCCTCAACCCGTAATCCTCGGAAATGCCGTTTTTGTAAGCCGGGTTTTTGTGGAAGGGCGTGAATGTCATTCGCACCCGGATGGCGGAGTCGGGTTTCGGGGGCTTTCCGTACGATCCGATTACTGGGAACCACTCGTCGATTAGTTCGCCTGAAGCAATCCGGCTTGCCGGCACGGATGCAATTCCGATTAGCTCGGCGCCAAACATGTCGTTGTCCTTGACTTGAAAATCGACCTGCTTAGCAATTCGACAAACATGTCATTGTCAAGTGACTCTTTGATTTCATAAAATCAAAAATGGAAGGTAGTTTTAACTAATTAGGGTCGAAAATTGAACAGATTATGGAAAATTAACCCTTGACGTAATTAGATTTTGTATTTAATTTCACCTGAGAAACAGGATGAGCTAATGGGATCTGGAAATGCTCGTCCCAAATCGGATCCTGTGAGTTGGATATGACCCGGGTCCGGGCTACCCGGGCACCGGCGAGGCAGACCGTGACGTAGGGGTCGCTGGTGATGATCTTACGGTGGTGGTGGCGGCGGTCGTGGCTGCGGTTTTTGGCGAAGGGGCGGCGGCAGAGATCGAACGCGGTGAGGCAGCGACGGAGGCGCTCGGAGACGAGGTCCATGTTGGGAAGGCAGCGGGCCTCGATGATCCTTAGGTCGAGGTCGCCATGGAGATAGATTGTCTTGTCCGGGTTATCTCCGGCCATAATGCGGCGGCCGGGAAGGGAGGGGGCGGAGTCTGCGGAGTTGGGCGGTGGCGGATGGAACAGTGGGCGACGACTATTGGTTTGGTTTTGAGTTGTTTTTAAAGAGCGGTTAGGAGTTTTTGGTATTGAAGCGGAGACAGGTGGTGGATACACAGTATGGTTTGAATATAAAGTCAAAGGTT